TGGGGGTGAGAGGAAGGCTGAGGCTGCAGAAGGTATCTGAGATTGGGACTGGCTGAAGATCTGCCTCCCTGCATTGCTGCTGGGTTCGGTTAGAAATTCCAGCTTGCGTGACTGATGGATGCAAACATCTATATTACATTTTTGCTGGAAGATATTTGGGAGGAAAATCCGCTAGTGCAACAAAATGATACACTGCCTACATGTCTCCCAGTGAGAAGAAATGGAAGAGAAATGGAAAAGAGACGTTGGTCTGTTATGACTAAAAGAGAACTCTCCCAAACCTCCATTAAAGCCCTGAAGTCTGCCATCACATCATCTCCCTGATGTTAGTGAAGATGCTACTAAGGATGCGTGTCCTCTTGATCCTCACCTCTTCCTCAGCGCCAGCCATGACTACTGTCTTGGGAAGATGAGGATTGAGGAGTTGTCAGCTGCTGTGATGTGAATGTTAGGCTTGGTAATGCGCGAGCTACTATATGCAAGGCCTGCAAGGAGATGTTGGCTCATTTCGTTAGGAAGAAGGTTAGAAATTGGGTGGATGTTGGTGGGAAACGACCTCATCGGGTCGCTTAATTATGTTGCAGGGCTGTGAGTGGAATTTGAAATGTAAAGTCTCTACACGTTCTTTATTTATTATGATGATAATATTAGTTCATACCCTTTTTTCTTCTTTTTTTAAAATTTTCCCATATTTGATGTGCAACACTGAGTTTTAAGGTGTCATGGTTCAGGAGCGAAGAACCTCACGCTGTTTCCCCTCTGGATTATGGCTGTTAACCTTTTGTATCTGGATTTAAATTGTCATAATCAAGTTTTGCAGCAAGTTGTGCCCCCGTGAGAGGCCGGGTCCTATCAGTCACCTCCCCAATGTGCAGATCGCCTCAATAAAAGCCGCGTCCTGAGGAGCTGTAAGTGTTTTCGCCTCTTGCGGGCTATTTGAAGCCCCCACCCTGGGGCTGGTCCCACGGCGCAGGCAGGACGCTGCGAGGGCGCATGCGCGCCCCCCCCACTCATGGCGCATGCGCTGGCGGTAAAGTTGCTGACTCATGTACTGCGCAGGCGCTTGGGCCGGGCCCCCCCTTCTTCCAATCGGGAGGCGCGACGCGCGCGTGGGCTTTGACTCACTTCCTGTCTCGGGGCGCGTGGGGGGGAAGGCACTTCCGGCTC